GTCTTTTACAGAAGTTTTATGGAGTAAAATTATTTACCCTTTTAATCGGTGGTTCGTCAGAGAATCTTTTTGCTGGAATAACTTCCATATCCTCTTCAGGTTTAACAACACTCACTTTCTCCTGCTCCTTCTTTCGTTTCAATGACTTTTTACCCATTTTCACAGATGAAAACAATTATTATCCTTCAGAGAGAGAATTGTTGTTTGGCACGTGGTTTATAGGTTAAAGTTTACTCTGGGGACAAAAATGGGCCCTAGGGTCCCCAGCAGTCCACATGGCATAACCTAACTAAAAAACAATAATTCAACTGGTAATGGATAATTATTCAATAGACGATTGAAATTAATTTCGGTGAATGGTGTTATTAGTATTTGTTTAATTAATTGGTGGAAGTAATAAAATGTCGTGGGGCTTGTCGATGGCAAATAGAACTCGATTGTTCAGTAGAAATTGTTTGTTCGATTGTTGTTTGAGGGGAAGAATGGGATTCAGTGATGGTGTAAAAATTCTGGGGATTGAGACGAGTTGTGATGATACAGGAATTGCTATTGTTGATGGCAATGGAAAAATCCTGGGAGAAGCCCTTAATTCTCAACAATCCACACATTTACAGTTAAGTTATTGACATTTCCATAATATAATGCAGATAAAAATAGTAAACAATGGTCTCGAGATAAAATTAAATCAATTCATCATTCATGTTTTTCTCCCTGAAATTATTTTGAAGGGAAAAAAATTATATTTACAGATATGGAGGTATAATTCCGCCAGTGGCACGAGAGCTACACAGAAAAAATATCACCGACGTTTGTGAGAAAGCCCTGAGAGATGCGAACTTAAGGGTGAGGGATGTGGATGCTGTGGCAGTAACTGTCAAACCCGGATTGCCCCTGTCCTTGATGATTGGCAGAAATTTCGGGCAATATCTCTCGAAAATAGGAAATAAACCATTAATTCCCATTCATCATATGGAGGCACATGCGTTGACTGCGAGGATGTCAGGGGAGGTAGAGGAGAAAATTTATTTATCGAGTTCATTGAACTGACGGTGAAATTAATCGAATAAATTAAATTGTTTGTTAGAACAGGTAGAATTTCCTTTTCTCACACTTCTGATTTCTGGGGGACATTGTTTATTGGCTCTCGTCAAAGACGTCGCTGATTTTTATTTACTGGGGACAAGCATCGATGACGCACCAGGAGAAGCTCTTGATAAGGTGATATTTTCATTAATGCAGTGGAATTTTTATTGACGAACATTTATTAGCCAAAAAATAATATGAAAAGATTTTTTTTTTGCATTTTCATTTTTTTTATGCTGTGGGGGTTTTAATATCTGTTATAAAGTAAAATAGATAAGCAAATCAATTTTAGAATTACAGAATTTCCATAGAAAAATTTCCCCTCAATCGATTTCCGTATTTGAATCATCAGTTAAATTTCCAGACAGCGAGAAAATTAAAACTGAGGAATATCCCAGAGTACGCAGATAAAAACGGTGGAGCTGCGATAGAATTGGCAGCAAGTAGAGCTACAAATCCGTTCCAATTCGAATTTCCAGCATTGATGTCCCATTACAAAGACTGTAACTTCAGTTTTGCTGGGCTGAAGAATTCCGTAGAGAGAGTAATCGGGAGACTCGAGGAGGAACATGAAATTGTTGGCGACAAAGTTGTACCTGATATAGAGAATCTCTGTGCTGGATTCCAATTGTGCATTGCAAAACACATCTGCCACAGGACGAAGAGAGCAATAATGTTCCTGGATAGGACGAAATTAATTCCCGAGAATAAAAAAACTCTGGTAATTCCATTTCAAGTCGATTTCCACTTTTGATCAATTTTCAATAAATATTTTGGGAATTACCGCTGAATTCAATTCCATTTTTTAATTTACTTCAACGATTAATTAAACATTTTTTTTTTAATCGTGAATTAATTACTAATCCGTTGATATTGCACTCAGGTGATATCAGGGGGTGTTGCCTGCAACAATTTCATAGCAAAAAGCCTGCAATTAGTCTGTGATGAGATGGGCTACCGTTTCGTTCGCCCTCCGCCAAAATTCTGCATGGATAATGGAATTATGATCGCCTGGAATGGATTAGAAAGATGGAATGCTGACGTTGGGGTTCTCAGAGATCCCCTTGAGATTGAAAAAGTTGAATTCGAGTCTAGGGCACCTTTGGGCATCAACTGGATTGATCGAGTGCGAGAAGAGGATATCACCTGCAGAACTGTTAGATCCAAGGAATTATATCCTTGACGTAAGCAATAAACTAAAAAAAAACATGAATTGGAATTCGCTTGAAACGTTTGAAAAAAAATTTAGCCCCCATTGTTCTCTTACAAAACTAGGTTTTTATTAATTGAAATGATTTATGTACATTATTTTCACATTGAGAATAAAATTATTTAAACAGTGATGGGTAAGTGAATTCTCGATTCTTTCTTGAGTTTCTCGTAAACTTCGATGTCTCCCGGAAGTCCCTCCATCTTCTGCAGTTCGTCCTCAGCTTGTTTATCCAGATTGGCCCGAATTCTCTCT